TTATAGAACAGCTCATTGCTCAGAATGGAATTAGGAATAAAAGATTATCACGTGTATACCATTGTGACCACAGGATTTCGTTCGACTGCGAAATCGAAAATTGGAGATCATCCGTATCCTTGAACGGATATTGCGATGCAGCTAATTACGAAACGAACTGTCAACGGGACGATAATTGCCATGTTCCCGGACTTCTGCAACTTATTTGCCAGAATCCGCGAATTCAAAAAATTTCGAGGTGCAAATTCAGCATGGACACAATGGAGATAATAGAATTGCGAGAATCGTTGATTTTTATATTACGTTCTAGTGAGAGAAGAGAATGTATATACCTTGTTGCGTGAACAAGTGTTTATACATGCGTTTATATACATCTAGCATCATAGCTGTACCAGAATAGCACGCCTAATGTACCAAATTCTATTCCAAATCTGATAATTAATTCTACTATCATAATAAATTATAACAAGCGAATATTTTTCTTTCCCCTTTTTAAATATGATTTATTTTTCATTACTCGAATTATCCTATCAATAGAAAAAGTGCAAGGGTCGTAACGTGAACCCGTACACGAAATCCTGATAGAAAAACAGGAATGAAGCGACGCCTCAGATAGTCATTCGAGCACAACGATAACCAAGCAGGACTAAAAAATATCGACAAGAAGATGACGAACGCGACCTCACCCCTTGGGTCAGAGATGCAAGTATACGACGCGGTGTCGTTTTTTTTTCTTCTCTACGAGCCGAAGTGGTGGCACGCCGCTTACTCGCGTGTACGCTTTATACGCAAGAACGTAATGTTAAAACCAGTCAGTCTTTCACTTTCTCTGAGCCCGTCGCGAGCTGCTCGACCACTGCCCAACTCCACGTGTGATAGATATATAAATATACGTGGTCCATCGTGTCCAGATTAAAATCCACCTCAGTGAACATTGGAGGGTCATTGAAAAAATATAATACGAAGATGCGACGGAAGTACAGATTAAACTTGAATTAAAAAGTGAGTACACGTTATGCAACGATATAATAATAATAATAATAAATGTTAAAATTAACGATTCATGCAGCAGGAATAAAAATGTTATAATAGGAGGAAAAAATTGTGTAAACCCAAAAATAGGCTTGGGACCAACGGATACGAGAGGAATTGTGGTTTATGTCGTAACAGTGTTGTCAAAGTGCTATGTACGGTTCAAGAGGGAATGTGTTTTGAAATAGATTAAATTAAGTGCACTTCATTTTCCTTATAAATTTTTTATATATGAGTGGACATCGAAGTGTTTAATTCAGTTGATTTATAAAAAGTATTACAGATGAATTAAGTATCTTAATACATAGCAAATTGTTTCAATTTACAAATTTTGAAAATCTGATTAAGTATTAAGAAATTCGAAAAGAGAAAATTTTAATAATAAAATGATGCACTGAAAATGAAGTCACGAAGAACGAAATGACATGCGGCTCGTCGAAAAGAGAAAAGAAAGTATGTCGCACTGTCCGAAAACGTTCGATCGGTGCTCTTAAATGGTGCGACGTCACCAGAGTGCATCGTCGTATCGAAGAAAGTTATGCAAAAATAAAACAGAACGTTTTAAATTGTTTTAACTATTATTCTCCTCTTCGAAGGTAAAGAAACTATCACTAGCTGATAATAGAGTCTTTATCGTGTAAGTGCAAAATCGTGCTCACTGTCCATTGATAAGAAAGAAACCGATCGAAAAAATACAAGGAGACCCAACTTGTCCCACGTTAATGCGAATATCAAGTTATTCCGTAGATAGATAAGACTTACAATATTTTCTTTTTTCTGTTTCAGATTTCGCCGGACATAAATAAAAAAAAATCAAACAATTGGGCCTTCATCAATTTTTTTAATAATTGATTTCATTAAGACTCGTTCGTTTACGAGTAACAATGAGACTCCATGATCCCATGCAAAGATGCATCAGTTGTATTTATACCAAAATGAACAATCGTCACTGAAATTTAATTATGAACAAAATCGTCCACCACAGAAAAATATTCAAATGACAACGATAAGATTTTACCAATAAAATCGATTGAAAATTTGTATGACGAATACCAAGATTAAAACAAAACTATAAAAGACCAAAATTAAGACAGGACTATAAAAGAATCGAGAGAATGGGGGTCGTGACAGCGGCAACGATAGCCGTAAAAGGCGCGACGATTCTTATTGGCAAAGTGGCCATAGTTCCTATCCTGATAGCAGCCCTAGCGTACTTCAATTACGATTTAATGGACCCTGAAAATCAGCCGAAGGTGACCAAGGAGATTCGCAAGGAGTACGATTTTATTGTAATAGGCGGTGGATCGGGTGGAACGGTAGTAGCCAACAGGCTGACGGAAAATCCGGCGTGGAACGTTTTGCTGTTAGAGGCTGGAGGACACGAGACTGAAATAACGGACGTCCCTATACTGTCTCTTTATCTGCACAAGAGCAAGTTGGATTGGAAATATAGAACCCAACCGCAGGATTCAGCCTGCCAAGCGATGATCGATCGGCGGTGTTGTTGGACCAGAGGAAAGGTCAGATCTCCTGCATTACTTGAGAACAGATTCCCAAAATGCCACG